ATGTTCTGTTGAAGAAAAATGATAAAATTTCAGTCACTTTTAACCTCCAGATATATCTGAGCTATGGATTCATTGAGAATAGGTCATTTTAAAGTCTCCACCATTCATCTTAATGTAGGAAATAAATCCTATATCCTCTGTCACTTTCATCATTATTATTAATCTTATCGTTATTATTATTATTAAATAATGTTATTATCATCATTATTTCCAATTGAGTCATTTGAACACCTTATAATTATTAACCAATACGTATGGTAAATAAATTTGCATATTTATTCCAGATCAGCTTAAGATAGATTTACTTCTTAAAGAATTGTAAATAATTTAAAAGCAAATTCAATCAGCCTAATTTATTTTTATACAAGTTATTTTGCTCTACACACATATAGATCTATCTACCCTTAAAGTTGAATCTAAATATTAAAGAATTAAGGTTAACAAATTAAACTTTAGCATTTAGCATTTAAATAATGACAGTTTCCTGTTTATTTGAAGAAATGCCCAATTATTGTTAAACAGACAAAATCTGTTCATTTGACTAAATTACTTTTTTTATTTGTTTCATTAAACTTTATTTGTTGTGATATTTGAACCTTATATCAATCCCCTTTATTCCCAATTTAAACAGCTGTGCTTTAAGGTTTAACATCTTTAATTCCTGCTTTGTTTTGAAAACAGGTTAGGGGGAAGAATGAGCCACAGAAACTAGAAATTCCTACATTAAGATGAATGGTGGAGGCTTTAAAATGATCTATTCTCAATGAATCCATAGCTCAGATATATCTGGAGGTTAAATTGTCTGAAACTTTGTAGTTTTTCTTCAACAGAACATGTTTTATTTGTTCTGATGAAGAAAAGGGTGGAAAGAAGATAAAACAAGGATCCATATAGCAGCTGTTTATTTTTTCAAAATCTGTAAATCTTCTTACCTTACCTTCTTTTTAGCCTCTAACTTCTCATCATATTGGTTTATCTTATCTTTACATTAAAGCTACAGTGTGTAATAATTACAGGGATATACAGTCAGAAATGTAATATATTATTCATAACTATGTCATTTATCATCATCTACGAGCTCAGCCTCTTAACCTTAATATTTGCGTTGCCTTAGAATTCGTTATTTATAATTACATAGGAGTGGGTCTCGCAGCCGTGGAGGCAGACATCTTTGCGCTACGGCATCGTAGAGCCAACAAACTAGCGATTGAGAGATCGCGCATTACGCTCGAAAGTAACTACGGCAAGTTGAGAGAGATGAACTGAGACGGTACTGAACAATAGAT